GGGCCTGTGCCCTGACCGGGAATCGAACCGCAACCTCCTGGATCCTAGCTCGATGCTCAACCCCTGAGCCACGCCGGCCGGGCTCTTGCCCTGTTCCTGTTTCTATTTTCTCAGTCATTAACGGATGTCGTCGGAGCTTTGTTGTTATTACAAAAAGCAATGCATTTGGCTCTGGCCAGTTTGGCTCAGTGGTTAGAGTGTCGGCCTCCGGACTGAAGGGTCCCGGGTTCGATTCCAGCCAAGGGCACGTACCTCAGTTGCAGGCTCCATCCCGGGCCCCTCTCAGGGCGCGTGTGGGAGGCAACCAATCCATGTGTCTCTCTCACATCGAAGTTTCTCCCTCTCTGTCTCTCTCTCCCTCTCTCTCCCTTCCACTCTCTCTGAAAAGCAATGGAAACAATATCCCGGGGGGAAGATTAAAAGAAAAAAAAAAAAAAGTAATGTATTTGCATGGAAAAAGATAAAAAAGACCTAGGAGTATAGTGACGACCACCTTAAGCTTGTCCCCAGGCCCCCCTGTGCGTGTCCCCGGCTCTCGCCCGGCTCTGACTGTGACACTGGTTTCCCCTGGCCTCTGTGTCCTGGTGCAGGCCGTGGGCAATGAGACACAGGTCCAGCTGCCTCAGCCTGTGAGTGCCATCATGGACCGCTGGATCCTGCAGATGGGCTTCCCCGTCGTCACCGTGGACACCAAGACAGGCAACATCTCTCAGAAACACTTCCTCCTTGACCCCGAGTCCAACGTCACCCGCCCCTCAGCCTTCCAGTGAGCAGACGGTGGGGTCCCAGGGCAGGTGTCCCAGCGAGGGTTCCCAGGGGCCTGGCCTGCTGTGGTCCCAGCCCCAGTGGCTGTCGACAGGCTCCCCTTCGTGGGCCAGGAGGATGGGCCACTTGGTGCCAGGGGCAGGCAGAAGGGGGGAGCCTCGACCGGCCGCCTCTCACCCCCCGACCTCGGGTCTCTCGTGGCAGGTACCTGTGGATCGTTCCCGTCTCATCTCTGAAAAACGGCGCTAGCCAGAATCACATGTGGCTGGAGAATGCCACCAAAAGTAATTCAGCCCCGTCCTTGTGGACAGCAGGCCCTCCCCTCGACCCCCCCCCCAGCTCCCGGCCCATGTCCTGGGGGTTGTGGCAACCTCGGCAGGGGCTCCCTTCATCATTTCACTCCCCACATGGAGCTGGCTTCTTGGGTCCTAACCTCTCCTCTGCTGCGGCTGCCCAGCTGTGTGACCCTGGGCAAGTTACCATCCCTCTCTGGTCTCCATTTCCTCGCCTCTAAAATGGGGCTGAGTGCAATATCTCCCCCATTTGAATTGTGTGAGCATTAAAGGGGACCGTGCACTTGAAATGTTTGAAACAGTGCCAGGCACTGAGGTCCCCAGGCAGCCAGAGGCAGAGATCGGCTGGGCAGCCTTCTGGAAGCCCCTTCTCCTCGGCATCTCCCCAGAGGCTCCCGGGCCAGCCGTTGCCAGGCTGCAGGAGGCTGCTCTTGCCGAGGCCTGGAGACAGGAGGGCCAAGGGTCTCCCCTAGGCTCTCCCGGGCAACCCCACCCCAGCTCTGGTCTCTCCCCACAGTCGAGCCTATGTTCAAAACCTCCCCCAACGAGTGGGTCCTACTGAACGTCAATGTGACCGGCTATTACCAGGTCAACTATGATGAGGAAAACTGGAAGAAGATTCAGAATCAGCTGCAGACAGACCTGTCGGTGGGTGCCTGCCACCCCCACCCTGTCCCCTGCCCCAGCCCTAGCCTAAGGCCGCACCCTGAGGTCACACCCTCTGTTGCCCCTTGTAGGTCATCCCGGTCCTCAATCGGGCCCAGGTTATCCACGACGCCTTTGACCTGGCCAGGTGAGTGTCCCCTTACATCCTCGGGCCCAGACTGGCTCTGCCGGGGAGGCCTCGTGACTTGAGCAAGTGGGTTTCCATAGTGAGAACCAGCTGTCCTCACGGTGAGCCAGGCACACAGCGCAAGGGAGGTGGGCTCCGTGCACCCCTCCCGTGGTCCCCACCCTTCTGGAGACCACGCTTTTCCTGGTCTCCACAGAGCCGGGCTGCTGTGCTAGGTGCTAGAACAATCTGGGAAGGACAGGACAGGTGACACACAGCATGGGTAAACAAACAGGGACCGCCTATGGCGCTAAGCTCTTTGACAGACATGGACATTTATGAACCGGATGTGCTCACACAACCTGAGGAGGAGGTGGGAGGGAGAAAGGCCCAGGTGGCCAAGACAATCAGACAAGAGGTCGGCCAAGGAAAGAACTGTGTGGCCTTGGGCAAGTCCCTTCACCTCTCTGGGCCTCCGTTTCCGCATCTTTAAAATGGTGGTAATAAGCAAAGGATTGTGACTGGCAATGGGTGAGGGCAAGGCCTGGGCCGGCCTTGTTTGTGGAAGCACCCAGCACCCACATTCGCCACCCTGGTGAATGCTGGAGCTGGCTCAGCTGGGGCTCCGGGACCTTAGGCTCCGGGGAGGACTGGCTGGGGCTGCTAACTTGAACCCCTCTGTTTGTCCCCAGTGCCCGCATGGTTCCTGTCACCCTGGCGCTGAACAACACCCTCTTCCTGAGCAAAGAGACAGAATACCTGCCCTGGCAGGCGGCCCTGAGCAGCCTGAACTACTTCAAGCTCATGTTCGACAGCTCCGAGGTCTACAGCCCCATGCAGGTACCGAGGGGCCAGGCCGACTGCAGGGCTCATGTGCTCGGCCACCCGGCCACCCGGCCCTGCTGCCAGCTGGCGATGGCCCCTGGGAGACGGAGCTCTGTGGGCTCTCTGTTCTTTTTTGAAATGTAAATATATCTTTATTGATCTCAGAGAGAGGAAGGGAGAGGGAGAGAGAGAGAAACATCCATGATGAGAGAGTCATTGATCAGCTGCCTCCTGCGCGCCCCCTGCTGGGCATCGAGGGGATTGTGCCCTGACCTGGAACCAAATGGTGACGTCCTTGGTCTGGACGCCTCTCCCACTGTCCTTTCCTCTCCTGTCCTCTTTGTTCTTTGGGATTTATTCCTTTACGTTTGGCTGTGGGTTCCGGTTGACAAGCCTGACAGACGAGAGACCATGTCAAACCAGAGTCCGCAGAGGACTTTAATACCGTGGGGCGGGGCTCACATGACAATGCCACGTAGAAGGTGTGGCCTGCAGAGGTGTAGACCTGCTAGGTAGGAGGGGAAAAAGGGAGGCGCCAATTTGGAAATTGTAGTTTTGGTGAGCTCCTGGGTGGCTTGTGTTTCCTGCATGTTTTTCTGTTTTTTAAATGCCCCACAATAAACACAGGACATTTCTAATCAGGCGGCAGGGTGTGGGGGTGGGGGTGGGACCCAACCTTATATTAAAAAAATGGTGACGCCAGGCCGGTGTGGCTCAGCGGTTGGTTGAGCATCCACCTAGGATCCAGGAGATCTCCGTTTGGATTCCCAGTCAGGGCACATACCCAGGGTTGCGGGCTCTTCGATCCCCAGCAGGGGGCGTGCAGGAGGCAGCCGATCAATGACTCTCATCATGGATGTTTCTCTCTCTCTCCCTCTCTCTGAAATCAATAAATATTTTTTAGAAATAAAAAATGATGATACTTAGAGTGTTAGAACTTCTGAGGCTTTCAGGAGGAGGAACCTCAGATCAGTCATCTGAAACGGGTTAGCGTGGGCCCCTTTGAGCACCGCCTGGCATTGGGGGAGGCCCTGAGCCTCTGGTAGCTTTGTCTCCGAGGTCATTAGCCTTTGTGACACCTGCCCACCCACATCACGGGCTCCTTGGGGCTCTAGGCAGGCAGGTTGGAGTCTACCCTTTGAAGCTATTCATGTTTTCTTTCCCTCAGAAATACCTGAGGAAACAGGTCACGCCCCTCTTTCTTCACTTTGAAAACATCACCACGAACTGGACTAAGCGCCCAGAAAAACTGATGGACCAGTGAGTGTAACCTCTTCTGGGTTTGGAGGTTGTGGGGGACACAGGGACCCTGACCTGGGGAGTCCAGAGCAACACCCGGGCTGTGTTCCCCCCTGGACCTCTCGACCCTTGGCCCGAGTAGGACCACCAGGCAGGGAGTGACCCCCTCCTAGGAGCAGGAGGCCCTGCCAGAGTCTCTGCGGCCTGTGGGCCCATCTGGCCTTTGTACAAAAATGAAACTCAGAAGTCCCCTCGCCAGCACGGTCATTGAGATTCTTAGATGCGGAAACTGGGGCTGGATCCTGTGCTGACCAAGTGTCACCCTGGCCGCAGGTACAACGAGGTTAACGCCATCAGCACCGCCTGCTCCAGTGGGCTCCCTGCGTGCAAGACTCTGGTGTCCAACCTTTTCTCAGAGTGGATGCGTAACCCCAGCGATAATAAGTGAGTGTCCCCTGCTCTTCTCCAGTCCCCATAGCCCTGTCTTTATCAGACCCTTGTCCCACCCTCCCTGCGGCTGCTCCCCC